GAAATAACGTGTGTATTATCTTGGCATTTATAAGGACAAAGACAATCTTACCTATCAACAGGTACAGTAGTAATAAATGAAGCAGTGGGCATAAAGAAAGCAATTTTTTTTTCCTCATCCTGTCTGAGTGTCAAAATGATTGTATCAAGGGCCAGGAGATTAAATTGTGTTGCTTGTCAGGAAATTGGCAAGCAGCCATTCTTTCTGACTGCTTTCTGCACTCTGCTCTTGTGCAATGGATGAGTTTAATAAATGCACTGTTGTGTAAAATGTCACTGCTGCATTGCCGAGTGGAAGGTATCATATGACAGCTCTTCCCCTACATGACCCATCAATATTGGTCCTTGCCAATCTATGGATGTCGAGCTACACGGAGGGCATTTATATGATTCAGATATAAAGATAGAAATAAACATCAGTCTTAAAGGCATGGAAATGCATCTACTTCTCTCTGAAAGGAACACCTAATGTTCTTTCTAAAATGTTCTTATTTGTGAAGCTAAGTAATGCTACAGAATTTTAATGACTACTTCTTGAAGACGAAATATAAATGAACAGTAACATTTTTATTAGCATTTGTTAGTTGTACAAGAGGGGATTCCTGGTGATGTTTCCACTCACATAAACAATGTATCCTGATCAAACTCATCCTGTTAGTCTCCTCTATCCCACTCCGTATACTTAAAACAATTTTAATAGGTCTGTTCTATTTTCAAGTATGCAAATATGTTCCATATGAATATTCATCTTCATTTACTCTGTTAGCTCTCTCTGTCTTTCACTGGTGCCCTTCTCATCTGAGCCTGCATTACTTTCCTGTCATTTGTTCTCTTTAGTATATATTATTTGTACCAAGGATTCTTATCATGGTATTTCAAATGTGCATGTATCATATTATCAGGAAAAGTCTATTGCTTTCTCTTTCCTTGCATCTTAACCCCCAACTGGTCAAAAGATTTCACTGAAATTCTTTATGTCATAGTTGCAATGTATTTTAAAATTATTCACCCTGCATCTTTCCTTATCCCTTCCTACTTCCCCTTCATGTTCCTCCTTAGTCTTATATTCATTATTATTTATTCTGTTTGTGTGTCTGTCTCCCCCCCCACACACACACCCCTTGAAATTCAGATCCACTAACTCAAATATTATAGCCTTTTGCTTAATTTTCTTTTCTGGGACAACCTCTGAGATCAGAGCTCAGTTTGGAGTCTAGTCTATTGAAGAGTAAATTTCTTCTCCTTATATTTGTTTCTTAAACCTGTGCCCTCACTTTTTTGGTGGAGGATAAACTTTATCACACACAGTGAAATAGTCACAATGATCCTAGGATATCTAAGCTGGTGTATATGTTCATGTTCTATCTGCCACTTCCAGCTTTTCTGCTGGTCAGTTGGTGATCAGAGGAATTTTCACAGCATTATTTGGCTGTCACCATTTTTGGATGACAGAACAGCCATTCAGGGAATTTCACTTGTTTAAGATCAAGCATATTAGTATATAGCCATCAGCTGGGCACTGGTGGCTCACTCCTGTAATCCCAGTTACTCACAAGATCTGACAGATTATAATTTGAAGCCAGCCTAGGAAGAAAAGCTCACTAACTTCCATTTCTAACTAATCAGCAAAAAGATGGCTTGGAAGGCATGCCTCCAGTGGTAGAGCACCAGTTGAGCAATCTCAAATCCCTAAATTCAAGCTCTGGTACCAGCAAAATAAATAAATGAATAGATGTCAAAATTCATGGTTCCCAGTGTTTATGAAATGTCATTCTCACATAACCTCCTGTAATGTTTAGATTAAAAAGCACACCTCAGAATTTATTAGTTTAACCTCAAACACTGTTCCAATCACACTGAGTTGTTTAGAAGGGCTTAGTTGGGGCCTGAGTGCTGCTATGTCTTAAAAATATTTTAGAATATCATTATTTTAGTTAAGACCTTTGGATTTTAGCTAATGCAGAATGTCAAATGTTTTATGCTTCAAGATATTACTCTTTGAACCTCAATGAAGGCCTTGGACTAGATCAACTGGCAATTTTAAAATAATCTAGATTTAATGTCACACTGGCAGAGTTTTAATTGATTGTTCTTCACAGTTTTAGCATTTGAACCCAGGGTCTTCTGCTTGCTAGGCAGGTACTATACCACAAGCTTAGCACTTTGTGCTTCAGTTATATTTTAGAGAATCATTTATGTTTGGGGTTGGCCTCAGAATGTGATTCTCCTATCTCCTATCTCTGTGCCCCACATGAAACTACCACACCTGGTTTATTTGTTGAGGGAGGGGTTCACTAACTGTTTTGCCCTGTCTGGCCTCAAATCACAATCCTGATCTCTTATCTCCCTGTGAATCCAGGTAAAAGCCACTGTATCAGGCCCTAACTGTTATTCTTTAGCTCTTATATTACCCCCCCCCCCCCGCAACATTTAAGTGCATGGTAGGTAGGAGAGGGTACCGACAATCCTAGCAGCAGGAGCTAAAGTCTACCCAAATAAAGTAGAGATCTCATAGCTATCTTCACATAGGCTAAACCTATAATGTAGACTGGGGAAGACAAGTACTTTGTTGCTTCACTTAAGACCTCTGTACAGAGATTTTCAGGTTGTGCTCTGTACAATCCTAGATGTAATCTGTACACACAAGACATAGACTATTTCCTGGATCTGGGAAGCCAGAATGAAGGCCAATGGGAAGAGGCTAGAACACAAGCAATCATGCTTCCATTGAAAAATAATACTAAAATTCCACAAAACTTTAGCTCTCATTGAGGTTATTTTCTTGACAACTATCAAATGAAGCTTCCAGAACAGCCACTGAATCTCTGAAGACAGTAGAGTGCCTTTCATGCTGGTAGGCAAAGAACAATGTCACTTTCAGAGATGTCACTTTTCATTCTTAACTGCGGACAAGCCTTGTGGCAAAGTCTGTTCTATCTCAAACCCAGAGCTGGCATTTGTTAAGGGACGGATGGTCCCTCACCTGCAGGGAGAACGAATGGTTAGAAATGATGAGCACATTCCATCAATTTATGAATCATTCAGTTTTGTCAGGATTCGATATTGAAAAACAATAAATTCCTGTGACTTGTAGAACTGCACAGCAGCCGTTTCCAACATTACTTCAATGTGGTCTTTCTTTACTGAAAGTAATATAGACAATCCCACTAAAATAACTATTGTCATTAAGCATGTGTTTTCTGCAGAAGCATAGGAAATGCAAATGTGCTTTAAAAATATGACTCTTCTTTACAAGCTGTCAAAAGTTATCAGCCCATCAGGACAACTAGGGAGGAAGCATGGTTGGCTATTTCAAAAGGAACACACAACTAGCTTACTCATGCTTGATGATCACGTAGATTAACATTTCTACCACTCAGATCACATTCCTCAGTGAGATTCCATGAAACTGAATCATCCTCACTTACAGAATCTGCTTGCAGATGGGACAGACTCTCCGTGACCAAGCTTGAGTCAGTATTCTCCAAGTCTCCATTTGGCCTTGACCACAGACTTTCTCTCTGGCTCATTTAGCCCAGTTTTTGCAAGAATTCCATCCCACTAAATCAATTTAGCTAAACTTTCTCACCCTAGTAGCTGGTCAGTTTCTTCATATTCCCTTGGCCCACTTTCAACAAGAATCCTGTAAAGTCTCTTAGAAGAATCCTTCTTATTCCTGTTGATTTTTCTAAGTGACTTTCTATCCTCTAAAACTCAATCTTCTCATTGGCCTTCTCCTTTTTCTCTCTTACTATAAGATATCCAATGTAAATCCTTCTTAATCTTCCATAGAGTGTTTAGCAGGTGTCATGAGTCATGTCCTTCCAATCACTCTTCTTTTTCTTTATTTTTTCCAGAATTTATTGATCCATCTATATCTATATTGATAAAAGGCAATAGATTTGGCATAGATACAGATTATCTGCTTGACCCAGTAGCAGTGTTTTTTTTTTTTTTTTTTTTTTTTGGTCCGGTCGTTGGGCCTGACCTCTGGGCCTGGGCGCTCTGTCCCTCAGCTCTTCAGCTCAAGGCTAGCACTCTACCACTTGAGCCACAGCGCCACTTCCGGCTTTTTTCTTTTTGCTTATGTGGTGCTGAGGAATCGAACCCAGGGCCTCAGGCATGCAAGGCAAGCACTCTACCACTGAGCCACCTTCCCAGCCCTGCAGTGTTTTAATTGTATTGGGACAAGTCACCTCTACAGGGAGATCTCCCTAGGTTTTTGAGCCTGTTGGCTTTGGTTTTTATTATTAACTGACAATTAACATCATTTACTAATTGTCACTTTTGGAATATTATTCTTTAAACAGAAAGGCCTGATTTAAGCAGCTACTAATGCACTAAGCAATATCTTTGTGTACTCCCCCACTCAAACTCAACAGGGAGACTTTTGCAAATTCAAGTTGTTTTCTCTCTTCTCTATGGAATGGACACTTGCTCTTTCCTTAGTTCCTACCTCAGATTTTTAGGGTTAGTGAAATTTTAATCATGCTTTAATACTGGACTCTTCCTGTGAAATTATTTCTGTGACACACACTGCCTCTAAACATCTAGAAAAAGCCTGGTAAGTGCTTCTTATATCCACAAACACATACAGTGTCTAAGCATTGCATCATTTTCTAATGTTGCTTATAGTGTATTATTTTTATATATTCCATTATTTGTTCACTGATTCATATTATTATTCTTTCCAATTAGACTGAACTCCTGTGGTAACAAAAAAATACATCTTCATCCTTTCTTCCTAGTATGTGGGCCAATATTACATTTGGTAGCCATTAACAAATTAAAGAGTAGTCAAAATTTACTATAAAACAAAGCATCCTTAAAATCATTACTGGAAACTTGCATTGACTTCTTTCTCTTGCAAGTACAGAATTTTTACAGTTTATTAGTCTCCAAAGGTACCTCTTGTGGAGGTAGCAGATCAGTGTTTCAAATCATTGTAATGTTTCAGATCTAATATTTTTTTTCAAAAACTTCTAACATCTCAGAAGTTACCTGAGTCTGCCATCCTCAGCTGCAGCACCTCCTGGTATAATCTTCGTAATAAATATGCCAGGGTCATCTCCAATGTGGGGGTTATCTGTCCCTCCAGCAATACTGAATCCCAGGCCAGAATTCCCCTGTAAAAACAATAAGCAGACATTAGGTAATGTGACTGTCACTTAAAACCAAGTTCCTCTTGCACTCTCTTTGATCATGTTACTGCACAAATAGAAATCAGGTGATAATAACTGGGCATGCAATGCCATAAAATGCACAGTCAGCAGATAAAGGAAGGTCAGGAAAAAAGCATGCTTTTGTCCCTGGATTGCTACAATTCAAGGAGCTATACTTTCTTTTTTCTTTTAAAAGATGGTTCCTTTGTAAAGCAGTGAAAATGACCATTATGAATTAGGAAATGGGTGTCCAATGATACAATATTCAAAATGCATAAGTCTTAGAAAGTCTATTGTAAGCTATTCATTCCTACAATGAAATTTCCGAGAATAGCGAAATGTGGGTGTTTTTGCTTTGTGATTCTAGGTTGGTTGTCCTAGTATGGCTTGATCATCAAATATGTGTGTTTTATATTACATACTTTGGCCTTAGAAAGCAAGAGAACTCTAACACATGTGAGAGAGAGACCTTCAACAATGAACCCGCTTTAATTGGCAGTGGCAACAGACAGTTTATATTCTAATAAACCTTTCATATGTTTGTAGATTAAAATTGATGTCTATTATACATTGCTTGTATGTAATGCATAATTAAGACTTCTCTCAAAATTCACATGCCGTCCTACTTAACACATTTCTGATTGATACATTCTCTTTTAAACCCACATCCATGGCTACATTATATTTCCATAATTGTGTTCTGATATTTTCTCAATTCATTTTATATTTTAAGCTTTCTCTCTATAGCTAGTCAATCTTTTATGTGTCCATTTAAAATGACTAAGTAATATTTTATTAAGGTATCATGTTATCATTTCTTTAAATCATCTCTCAGTGCTAGATACTTACTTTACATACTTTCATAACATGTGTAGCTTACTAAATTTATGATTATTAGATTAAGTTATATGCTTTGGTAAGAAAGAGAGAAAAACTATTAATTTAATAGTTAATCCAGAGAAATTAATTAGGACACTCAATTAGCCAGAAAACTTCAATGTCAGGATAAAGTCAGCCGTAACTTGATAATTATAGCACTATAAATATCAAGGTAAAGTTTAGAAAATGTTTACTGACTAAATTAACAAGATAAATTCAAGAATGTAGTTTCTACATTGTATATTTTTTTGCAAGGTTGAAGTAAGAAATTTATCAGGAGCAATTAAAATGTGAACTAAAATATCTGTATTCTTGACATCTCTAATTTTTCTTACTTCGTGGAAAATTTCCAAAAAAAATCTTTGAGCAGAGATGGTGTGTACTAGCAATCATGGAATCCTTAGTTTATTTAATATTTCTTAGATACAGGCTTCATGACACTACTCAAGCCCAGAGGGTCAACAGTGACTGGCAGGATGACAGGCAGTAAAAGAGAATTACAGAGTGGCTAAGGAGAAAGCCAGACACAGTGACAGCCTCACAGGGTTGCAGAGGTGGAAGAGAGAAGCAGACTAAAGAGTTTTTGCAATGCCCCTGCCATGGGAAAAGGTGTAACAGATCTAAGAACACAAAGCAAGAAGGACAGTGGGATATCCTTCCTGATGGGATGCATGTTTATCATGAAAGACACCAGAACAGAGAGAATATGAACCCATTTGGCATTCATAGGACCTGGTAATATCAATTGTCTACATAAGTATCATTTGAGTATCTGTTATTTGAGACACTTAGACCAGATGCTTCTGCCTTTATGGAATCCCAGGCATAGTAGAAAAGGCATTGGCAGTCTAGTTTCTGATGATGAAGACATTTTATGTCCTATATGACCTTGAGGGACACTGGCAAACGTATATCCATAGAGGTAGCACCTAGGTGACTTCAAGATAATTCTCTGCAGTCCAGAGTTTGTAAGAAGAAGAGTATCTTCAACATCATGAAGATGAGTATCTTCAACATCATTTGAATGAAGCTCTGATATTATCAGCAGTAGGACATTGGTGTTAGTAGAGTTACAACCCCAGGGATTGTGATTTCTCAGTTAGTGTGGGCAAGGAGGGAAGGAAACACAGTGGGTTATACTTCAGTATGTTCTTTTGAAATAATCAAAAAGTTTGGAGAGGGCTGGATCTTTTGTGTACAAATTGTTAGCCCTTTCCTGCTAAAACAACACTGCAATCCTCTCTTGGCATTTATTTGTGCTGTTTTCGCTACCAAAATTTTTCTGTCTCTCATTCAACCATTGCAGTTTTCCCACATTTTCTAAGATCTAGTTCAAGTTGCCTTGGTTCTACATAATGCTTTAAAAATTAATTTATATTATATATTATCAAATTATAGACTACAAAGGGATGATATGATTTCAAAATACAATTTGGAAAGATTACTAACAAGTTATCATATCTATCTCTTCAAATACTAAGCATTTTACTTGTGATGAAATAAATAGAGATTATTCTTGGCCTTACTGAAATACATAGGACTGAGTAGTTATGTTCATCCTGTTTTCCAACTGATGCAAAATTTCAAACTTACGCACATTTTCACAATGTTAATTCTTTCCATCCATGATGAACACAAGATAATTTTTCATTAATCCATGTCTTGTTTTAATTCTTTCATTAATGTTTTTAATTTGCAATATACAAATCTTTCACCTCTAATTATTTTGTAGCTATTTCATTGTTGGTATAAAGAAGCACCACTAATTTTTGCATGTTGATTCTGTATTCTTCAACTTTCCTGAATTTGCTTATCATTCATAACACAGTTTAGGTGGAATCTGTTGTGTTTTCAAAATATTAGGTCATGTTATCTTCAAATGGTGACAATTTAACTTCTTTTCTAAGTTGGATGCCTTTAAATTTCTTTTGCCTAATTGGTCTGGCTTTGATCTCTAGTACTATATTGAGTAGAAGTGGTGAGAGTTGGCAGCCTTGGCTTGTGACCTAGTTCTGAAGAAAAGCTCAGCTTTTCCTGGTGCAGTGTGACAAATTATAGATGTGGGCTTATCATTTGTCATATACGGTTGTTCATGGGCTGAAATACATTATTCTATGCCCAATTTGTCAATGGTTTTTTTTTTTAATTTTTTTTTCTAGGCACCAATGGCCTACCACCTGTAATCATAGGTACTCGGGGCCGGGGGGGGGGGGGGGGGGGGCTAAATCTGAGGATCATGGTTTGAACCCAGTGCAAGCAAGAAAGATTGTAAGATTGTTACTCCAATTATCCAGCTAAAAGCCTAAAGTGAAGCTGTATTCAAGGGGCAGTACCAGCTTTGAGTAAAAATGGCCCTATATTCAAGTCCCCGTACTGGCACAAAAAAATTTCTTTTATATCATTAAAGATTGATAAATTTCATCATTTTATTTATATCTAATGAGATAATCAGATGATTTTCGTCTCCCATGCATTTATATGGTGTATCACAGTTATTGATTTGCATATATTGGACAATCCTTGTCTCCCAGAAATAAATATCACTTGGTTATGATGAGTCATATTCTTAATAAGCTGTCAAAATTAGTTTGTTCCAGATAACATTAAAGGATCATTCCAACTCTCTTAGTAGGTCTTATTTCACTTATGTTTACCTTCTTTATGTATGCTGATATTTTGTAGCTCTTTCTCTAATTTGTAACATTTTCCCCATTTCTTTGGTGACAGTCTTCTGCAGAGTATTGTCAATATATATTTGATAAATGAATAAATAGACAAACTTCTTGAATTGCCTGTGGCTTAAAAGGAAGACTCAGAAAGAACACAAGAGAAATACCCAATGTGTCAGGGAATAAAATTTAGTGTGTGGCTATAAGAAGAGAGTTTCCGAATTAGTATGTGTGGTTTGGGAACGGATGGAGTGCCCTTCACTCAAGAGGTATTCTGGCTACTGACTATACTTGAGGAACCCAATCATCTATTGACACATTAAACTGGATGACTTTAGAGGGCTCTTTTGGGACTTTGGCTAATATTAGGAAAACTACTTTTGTAACAGTGAAAAAGGAATAGTTTAAGATATTTTAGAAGGGGAAATAGTTCATTGTTGTATTGTTAAAACGTATTGTGACTCAACATATCTCTGAAGTAACAGCTCTGACAACAACAAAGAAACATGTAACCACAGTTTTTAGAATGGAGAATGTGGTGGCTCCAGAGTTCCCTGATTATATACATTCCCTGGCCCCCAAACCTACTCAAAGGCCAAGACAGAACAGATCAGGAAATCCATACTGGAAGGAAGTCGATGTAAACACGCTAGAACTTGCCCTTTGTTTCTGGCTTCAAGAATTCCGGAATGCTTTCTCCGTAGTCCTATTAAAACCAGTCTGCCAGCTAGGTCTAGCTTAGGTCCTATTGTTTAGAAGGAGTTCATCCAAATTCAGCTAGGAAAATGATTTGAAGTGTTTTTCTCCCTCCCCTTACCCTTTTCTCCTAGCTTTTGCTGCCAGCCCGCAGCAAACATTCCATGGAACTGAGGACTGAAAAGAGCAGTCATGAAATGGTTCCCTGCTGTTCTCCTGGGCAGTCACTTCAGTCCTCTGACAACCATGCCAGAACCTGCAGCTGCAGGGACACATCTCAGCTCCTCTCTGCTGAGCAGCAATCTCTCCATGTCAACAGGCAGACCTCTGGCTGACACCCTTAAATCCTGAAAACTGTAGCTAATTAACTGGATGTTTATGGAAACTTAGAGGTGCCATGCCGGTAAGGGCAGCACCTGTGCATAGTTCTGAGTGGGCTGCTGTGTTCTTCTTGGGGCAATTTCATGACTGATCAAAGTGGCTGGCACGGACCAATTCTCCATATTTGCTGACTCTCCCCCAACACACCAGGCAACTGTCTAGTCAAATGTCACTTCTTGTTTCATGGGCTTCATATCTTCTTTCATAGAAAGAATTGGCACAATGGAAAAATCCCTTGACCACTTAATTTCTTATTGTAAGTATAAATATAATGTCTCAGGAAAGCTCTTTGTTTCATTATAAGGTCATTCAAAGGGGAAGGACAGATAAATAGTGATA